ACATTAGATAGACTATATAAACTGTAAAATATTAATAATAATTGGATTATTATTGTTATTATTAATAGTTTTAATGTTAATGATTTCTACATTGTCAGTCCTTTTTTCTGCTCTGTTGTCAACATGTACAGGAATGGTAAATCTAGAGTCTTGCCCATTTAGCGTTAGCCGTTAGCTTCTCCAGCCGATCACACGGTCACCTGGTTTTTGCGCACTCCAGCTGTTCTATTGGACCTCCTTGGGTTGTATACAACTTCTCATATTAGTCAGGATAGGGTTGTACATGGTAATGCATGAACTGTAGTGAAAAAAGTCAATATTGGGTTATGTGGGTGAGTTTTCAAATAGTTTATAAAAAGAAAATATAAGCATGTGTGCACTCTGCTGTGRCTACAGGCTAACTTGGTCTTGTTTTTTTTTTTTTTTCAGATGGGATCTTACTTTGGCTACTCAGTGGTGGTCACTGACATCAACAACGATGGGTAAGTGGAGCGAGTTACAGCAACACAGATTGTGGCAGAAAATTATGAGACAGTTTGTAGGACAAAGAAAGTCTTAAAGATTTGCAGCACAGTCAAGTTTATTCACAGTGTGTCAGAAAAATCTAAATTCTGTAATCCTTACACAAGTGTGTTCTTTACGTTAGACATTTCTGTGTTCACTTTCAATTAAAATGAGCTTTAGAGGTTAAATAACTTTTATTAATTACCGCCATACAAATACATGACTTGAAAATAGTCTGTAACTTGGACAGTTTTGGMGATTTTGAGATAAAGGTTGAATTGGTGGTAGCTGATAGTGATCATCAACACATGTACTGACTGTTCACAGATCCTTAAATGTCTGACAGAAAATTTTCTCRTGAAACAAATATGATTGGAACTTGCAGAAAATAATCCTTGCTGTATGTCTAAAGCTGGTTTTATTTAAATGTCATCCTGACTACAACCCAATCAGTTTGACWGATTTTGAGACCAAATTTGATTTGTTAGCTTACAGCCGTCACAACACAACCATCAGAATTTATCAGAGATGTTTCTGTTTTTATTCTTTTTGTCACATTTTCCTTCCTTTGGGTTTATTTGTCTCCTGCCTCGGGTGCTGTGGACAGTTTGGATGACGTTGCTGTGGGAGCTCCGATGTTTCTTAGTCGTGGGTCTGACGGGCGTCTGGAGGAGCTGGGTAAGGTGTATGTGTACCTGCAGAGGGGCCCTTTGCAGCTTGAGCCCAGCCAGGACCACCTCCTCGGCTCACAGGCTTTCGGACGATTCGGCACCTCTCTGGCTCCGCTGGGAGATCTGGACCAGGATGGATTCAAAGGTAACATGTTCAGGTTGTGCTGTGTGTGGAGAAGAGAGGGAATAACAACAAACTCATTTACACAAGTTTGTCATGAAACTACTTGTACTTGATTTAGTGTCACCTCTGAATGCAAGAAGACAGTAATGTTCCTGTCTGTGTGAACATACTGTTTGTTTGTTTGTTTGTTGTGACAAACCATTGGACACTTTTTAATGGCATTTTAAAATGTAATTATTGTATGTCTACAAGTTATTAAAGGGATCCCCGATTAGTTGTAACATTAGACTTTATTTAATGAACATATATTTTAACTGTAAAATAAAGACTGTAAAATACTGTCGGATGTTTAGTTTTTATTATTTTTAAACTGAAAGTTAAAAAATACATTACACAGACTTTTATTTACATGCAAAGCATTCTGGGTAAATGATGACGTGGATAGGTCCTCGG